GTCGCTCCCCTGGTGGCGCCGCGGGAGGACGCGCGACCCCTCCCTGCAGCCGCGCGCGCCCGGCGCTCCTCGGACGGGCCTGGCCCCGGCCCCCGCGCGCGTTTTCGGGGCGCACTCGCCGCCGCCCTAGGCCGAAGTCCAGGGCACGGCCTGTGGTTTTGCTTCTACGCAGGGCAGTTGCCCCGGTCTGGACCCGGGTAACCTTTACGTGAAACGCCGAGACCTCCCCTCGTACGCGGAAGACAGACTGGCCGGCGGGGCAGCCGCGACGTGGACAATGACGATGGCCCTGAGCGACCTGCAGAGCATCGTCCACAACCCGGTAACCAGCTTCGGAGGTCTGGACGGCAGTTTCCCCCGGGGCCTGGCGCCGTGCGGAGGGCTGGCGGGGGACACCTGCCGGGCTCAGGGACGCCCTGGCCCTTCTCTTTATCTTGTCTGTGTCGGGGTCCCCGCAGCCACCCAGTGCTCCTGCCAGCATCCGGTCAGTGTCTGGTGAGCCCTGGCCTCGTCTGGGCTCGGTGCTGCTGCTGCTCCTTGGCCAGGGTGATGCTGCGACATGTGGCTCCTTGTCCCTCGCCCAGGTTGGGGTCTGAGCGCTTTCGCGGTTGCGATGGGCAGCTCTGTCACCGGAACCTGCAGTCTGGTCTGGCCTCGCACTGGTAGGGTAGGGTGCCCAGATATGCAGCCCTCAAACCGAGCCCCCTCTGCGCTCAGAGAGGACTCTCTGTGTCTCAGGGCCGTCTGTGACAGCCTTGGGTCCAACCGGCACCCGGTACTAATCACTGGACGGGCAAACAGGAGGATCAGCCAGGGTGTTCCGGGATGTTCCGGCGAGTGATACCAAACCTGGCCCCAGCTTGTCTCATGGTACCATCTCCAATGTGGTCACACCAGTATTTTAGTTTTCATCCATTTTTTTGTAGAGGTTTTTGCTATAGGGCACATGCACTCACCAGAAAGAAAGAGACAGAGAGAGACAGAAAGTGAGAAATTACCCCCCCCCAGGGGGGATGGCCACACCGCAATCCCTTCTCCATTCTCCTGTCGGGATCTTGGGCACGCGCGCACATGCATCCGGTGTGAGTTTAAGCCGCTGGGTCGGAGACTTGAACCATGGTTGACTGCATGGGAGTCCAGAGACATAGCCATTACGCCAATTGCTGGTCCCTTTATCCATTTTTTTAAAATTTAATTTTTTCCGAGCAGGGGCTAAGGGGTGGAGGGAGGCAGAATGTCAGATATTTGAGACGGGCTTTTGCTCTGTCGCAGCTCCTGCCTCACCCTCCAGGTGACTCGACAGAGTGCCCTCGGATAGGTTTTTGCACGTGTGTCCCAGCTCAAAAGCGTGGCATATAGCGCAGTCCTGGGAGCCTGCGTGTCCAGGCATGGAGGGGGGTCCCCAGCCTGAGGGTGGGGACCAGAGCAAGGTGTCGCGAAGGGAATGATGAGACCTGACAGTAGGTCAGGTCCCGGATGTGAATGCTGGGTTCTGGGTGACGGGGGCACAGCCGGAGACCACACACTGGGGAAGGCGTCAGTTGTGGCCCAGGCCTGCAGAAGGAGCTGGGCCAGGGCATCTGGCCGCTCCAGATGAGAGACCCTCCCCAAGCCACAGTGCTCCCCGTTGATCACACAACTCTGCTTCCTAGCTGTGGGTCTGGAAGTGTGGGGAAAGCTGGCCCCGAGTCCCTGGTGGGGCACAGCTTAGTTCGGAGTCCCCTCCAGAGGGTGAGTGCGCCAGTCGCTCTCCTTCAGCTCCTCTGGGCCAGTGGTCTGAGCCCTCTGTTGGGCCCGTTGGGAGCATGGGGAGAGGGAAGGTGGCAGGCCCCGCTGCATGGGTGTCTGGCCGGGAGGAGCATGCTGCAGGGACGTGTCACTTCACAGGGCCTCAGTCAGGGGACATTACAGTAGCCAGTACTGCCGCCTGTGGGGCTCTGCCCCACTCTGACAAGCTGCTCCCTTGCAGGTACGTAGAAGACAAACAGCTTAGAAAATGCTGACTTTGGGGCCAGCAGTTGGTGTAATGGCTCTGTCGCTGGACTCCCATGGAGTCAACTGCGGTTCACGTTCTGGACCCGGTGGCTTAAACTCACAGCGGGCACGTGTGCATGCGTGCCCAAGATCCTGAGAGAAGGGAGGAGAAGGGATTGCAGTGTGACCATCTCCCCAGGGGGTGATTTCTCGCTTTCTATCCTTCTTTCTCTCTCTTTCTGGCAAGTGTACACACCCTTTAGCAAAACCTCTCAAAACAAAAACAAAAACAAACCCAAAAAAACAACAACACCACTGAAAATGCTGACTTGTGGGACCAGCAGATGGCATAACAATTATGTCGCCGGACTTCCACGTAGTCGACTGTGGTTTGAGTCCCAGACCCAGTGGCTTGAAACTCAGTGGGCACATGTGTGTGCATGCCCAAAATCCCGAGAGGAGAATGGAGAAGGGACTGCGGCCTATCTCCCTGGGGGTGATTCTTTGCTATCAGTCTCTCTGGCGAGTGCACCTGCCCTGTAGCAGAAATCTCTCTTAACAGAAAGAAAAAGAAAATGCTGACTCCCCAGCACATTCTGCACAGCCACTGAAGATGTCTTCCCTGCTGCTGCTGAGTCTGGGCTGCACTTGCTCAGTACGGAGTTTTGCTAGTGCAACTCTTGTTCCTCCAGATCATTCCCTACGTTGGCACCATTCCAGAGCGGCTGGAGCCTGGAACCTTGATCGTGATCCGCGGGCACGTTCCCGGTGATGTGGACAGGTGAGGTCTCGGGTGAGCTGTGTTCGTGGGACAGCAGGCAGTGCCCGGGGGAGCCGGGCTGACTGGCAGGCACTCTGAGGCCGGGCTGCGTTTCTTGGCGTCCCTGGCCGAGTGGCACAGGAGCTGGATACGTAGGTAATGACCGTCCGAACCTCCTGTGCCGCTGTGGTCTGGCGTGAAGGGGGGCGTTGTGGTCAGCCTGGACAGCCCGACCTCCTGGGCACCTCGTAAGAGCTGGTGTGGAGGCTCAGTGAGCGTATGCTCTGCTGTGGATGTGGACAGTTGTCTCTCACAGCTGACGCCCAGATACCAGTGAGCTGATGGTGTGACAGCAAGCCAGCCCAGGTTCCTAGTAGCACCCCAGGTCTCTGAGAGGTCAGCCTCTTCTGACGCAGCGCTCTGCTGTCCCAGGGCGGGGCTCTCTGCCTCGTGCCCCGGTGCCACGAGTAGCTGGGTGGCCGCATGTGGTTGGGGCAGGGGTGCTCAGTTTCTGGTTTCCCTCGAGCCTTCATTCCCATCACGTTGGTTTTAACCAGGCAGGCCCAGCTGAAAGGTGGGCCCATCTGTACCCAGGTCGAGCTCAGGGGCTGCTAATGAGGATGAAGGACAGGACAGTGGGCTCCTGGCCCTTTAGGCCACATGGCACGTGCCCCGGGGGATTGGCCATCGTCCATCCACCTTACCCTGGCGTGCTGTGCTTGCTGGGTCTTGCCGCACAGCGCTCCTTTCTGAATCCCGCCACCCCTTTCCACGGCGGAACATAAAGATGCCAGCGGCTGCCGAGGACACGTGCTGCCCCA